CTCTTCTCTTCTCTTCTCTTCTCTTCTCTTCTCTTCTCTTCTCTTCTATATTCTCTTCTATATTCTATTCTATATTCTATTCTAATTCATTCCAAGTGCCCTCCTGATGAGGTTTCCTTGCTGTTAATTCAGATTACAGGACGGGGCCCTGCTTCACCTTGGTGACCAACCAGATGTGCCAGGGGCAGCTCAGCGGGATCGTGTGCACGAAAACCCTCTGCTGCGCAACGGTGGGCCGAGCATGGGGTCACCCTTGTGAAATGTGTCCAGCCCAGCCTAGTCCTTGCCGAAGGGGATTCATCCCAAACATCCGAACAGGAGCTTGCCAAGGTAAGGTGCCTCACAATCTTTTTGTCAACTCATAAACTATTTCTCTGGTTTTTTTAGAGTTGCCGACAGAAAGGGAGGGGGGAGCAGTGCGGCAGCTTGGAAATTGAAAGTGCATTCCATAAATAGTTTTCAAAGATAGTAACTAGGTGACTGAAGTTTTTCTCTAACTGGAGAAGATGATTGATGACTCTTGGCTGTGGACGTGTCCCACTGGAGAATATGAATTAGGATACACCCAGAGGGGTGGGGGAAAACCAGGGTCAAGGGTGACAATGAATTATGTGTCTCAGAGTCGGCTACACCCAGGCAGTGCCGGACCTTTTAACTCCCAATAAATCCTTTTTTGAAGTTTTGGAAGTTTGCATCGAGACTCATGATTTAATTGGGGTAACTTCCAGAATCCTGACACTTTTTTTTACACGGCTAATCCTCAACTACAACAGAGCCCGACATTTCTGTTGTATTCAATAAGTGAGTCTCGATCCATTTTATGACCTTTTGGCCACTGCTGTTAAATGAATCCCTTTAGTTGGGAAGCGAATCAGGAGATCATGAAGCGAATCTGGCATCGCCATTGACTTTGCTCGTCAGAAGCGGGGTGGGAGGATTACAAGGGGTGATTATATGATCCCAGGACAGTGCAACCTTCGTAGCTACATGCCAATGGCCAAGCACCCAAATTTTGATCATGTGACCATGGGGATGCTGTCACGATTATAACTACAAAAATGGGTCTTAAGTCTCTTTTTCAGTGCCGTTGTAACTTTGAACAGTCACTGAATCATCATCATCATCATTTAACAACCTCTTCTGGGCAACTGAATCGAGCTAGCAGAGTGTTTAATGGCCAGATGCCCTTCCTGTTGCCAGTGTGCAGTTTTGTCCAGCAGATACATTCTCATCGTCCCCAGAGAGAAAATATCTGCCTCTACCTAGGATCAAACTCACAGCCTCCTGATTGTGAGGCGAGAGTTCCACCTTTAGGCCACCGCACCACTCCCTTGAACAGTCACTGGTTGTAAGTTGAGGATTACCTGTCTCTATTTCAAGAAGGCTTTGCCCAACATCCAAAGACAGTGTTACACAAAAGAAGGTGCAGAAACTGTGGTTAGATCCAGGGGTGGGATTCTACCAGTTCGCACCTATTCGCTAGAACCGGTTGTTATCATTCTAAGCAGTTCGGAGAACCGGTTGTTAGAAGAAATTACTGGCCTAATCCTGTAAGGAAGGCAGGAAGGAAACATTCTGGTGTTGCTTACAGAAACTGCCTCTCTGTTAACCCTTATTACATTCTTGGCAGGACTAGACTTCCTGTCTCAGGAACTTCTCTGGAGGTTTTTCCCCCTCCTTTGCAGGTTCTTTGCTTGTGTGGAGTGACCATTCAAAGTGACAATGGCACTGAAAAAAGTGACATGATGATTTTTCACACTTACAACTGTTGCCGCATCCCCACAGTCATGAGAGGCCAGGCGAGGAGTTGCATGCCTCGATATGAGTGATATTGAGTTGGCCACGCCCAGCCAATAACATGACCACCAAGCCATGTCCACTCAGTCACATGACCATCAAGCCATGCCCACCAACTAAGCCACGCCCACAGAACCGGTTGTTAAAAAATTTGAACCCCACCCCTGGTTAGTAGATCCATTATTATTAGCTCTACTCTTTTTGTCACCATACCCTCAGTTCCTTTAGCTATGGAAGTCTTCCTGGTTTTCACCATAAGGTTCCTATGTTTCATAACTTCACTACTGAAAACCCAATATGGTCAAAAGCCCTGAGTTTTTAATGGCAAACAAAACTAACTTTGGTGATCCTGCAAACCTTCCAGGTTTTCTTTTCATGTTTTTTTTCCAAACACACTAATAGAGCCGTTTCCAGAAACCTGGAAATGACTCTTTTTAAGATTCCTGGGTTTAAAAACAGCCTGTTACACAATATACTAATTGAAATCCATTTATGTTTGATTTTTGAATCCCGCGATGTGCCAAGATGCCTGAAGTCTGTGTGTGCCGCTGAAAGTTCTTACCCTGCTTTTGGCTTTTATTTCGAATACATCCAGCTGTATAAATTCTTTTATTGTCTGAATGTCTGACAGGAAATAGGAGAAAGTTAACAGGGACAGCAGCTATGTGCTGAATTGGTGTGGGCTTAATATTCTCAAGATCTTGTCTCCGAAGGAGTTCTTTTTGTGTGTGTTCAAGACCTGCCTCTAAAATGTCGTTCAACAAGAGACGGTAATTTTGTGGGTGTAGAAAAGTAAAGATGATGCAGAACACCCCATGCTATTGTTGTGAATCCAAAATCTCTCCCAGGAGAATTCAAGACCTAGCATTGTTGTAGGAACATCGACTACGCTTTTAGCAAAAAATAAAAAGAAATAAATCATTTTTTGGGTGTCTCTCAACAGCTGCAATAGCTCTCAAAAAACTACATAAACAGCATTTATAATGTCCAAACCGAGCATTGGCTCTTGCTTAAACTTAGTGTAGTCCAGTGTTTGTAGAAGAGCTCTGTTTGCTACAGATTAACAATGGGTCATATGTCCCGCAATTTATAAACCAAGTTGTTGGATGACATCGTTCAGCTTCTGCCAACCCATCTTCACACAATTTTGATTTATTTTGGCAAGTCTCAAGAGACCTACGTATTTGTATACAGCTCTTTATTTCTGAGAAATGGTATCCGTCGAGAAGGAAAACTTTTAGCTGCAAAGAACAAGCTAAGAACAAAGTAGTGGAAATGTATACAACTTCTTTGCCGTCGTCCCCTCTATAGCTTAGATCAGTATTTCTTAACCTTGGCAGCTTTAAGATTGGTGGACATCAATTCCCAGAATTCCCTAGCCAGCCATGCTGTCTGGGGAATTCTGGGAAACGAGACCCACACATCTTAAAAGCTGCCAAGGTTGAGAAACATTGCTCTAGACCCGTGATGGTAAACCTATGGCACACGTGCCGCAGGTCAGTGATCCCCAACCTTTTTTATGCCGCGGCCCGGTACCGGCATCAGCTGGGCGCCGCGGCCCGGTACCGGCATCAGCTGGGCGCTGCCATCTTTTTTTGATGAAAAAGTGCTTCCGGTGA